GATATTTGGAACATAGTCTTGATACGGTCCATTTTTTCACGCGATATTTATCACAAATACTTTTTTTGTGACATTCCACTTACGTAATTGCCAATAATTTTCTTTCTTAGTTCCAATCCAAGACTGTCAGGAGCCATTTTTGCACTTGAAGTCTTAAAAATAATAAAAATAAATAATCACGCTTCTCAAGGTATTTCCTGTTACATTTACCTTGTGATAATGCAATAATGCCCTATGGAACACAACGTCTCGGTTGGATGTGAAATGTATTGATGTAATGAAACACTTATCGTATTTCACTTCTTGTATTGATGTTCTTCGATAAGACGCTTTGATAAAACTCACTTCGATAAACTGTCTTGAAAATACTGACTGATTGACTTCTATATACTGACTGAATTACAAATGAGACATACGCATAGTATCCTGTAATCTGCCATGTTTCTGTACTAATCTTCTTCCAATCTTCCACAAGTCTTCCAAAAGGTTTTGAAAAATATACCTTTCATTCTAAAATTTTTTAATGTAGTATTTTATATTCGTTTATATATTTAGATTTTCATATATCGTTAATACATCAGGAACAACGACAAACTTTTTTTTAACCTTTTTTAAATGAAGATATCTTTTACATTTTAAACAAACTCCAGATGGTAGAGAATTGATTTTTTTAAAATAAACTCTGGATCCACATATAGAATAATGAGTTCTTGTAGAGCTGAATTAATTTCTAATTTATAACATTTTACGTATTTATTTAAACAGCAAAAAAACTATATTCCTATTTTCTTTATGAAACCTTTGTCTTGTTAAGCTCATTTTGACCCAATACTGGGAGTTCTTTAATAAATCTTCAGCAGATTTTTCAATTTTAATACCTAAATACAAAGTAAATTTTCAAGCTACCTTTATGTGGAGACCTTTTTACATTTGAAATAAAGATTTAAGAAACTACAAAGGCATTTTTATATATTTAAGACAGGTTCGGATTTGCATTTTTTGGTGTTTGAGAAAGCTAATTTCCAGACATAAGATAAACGGAAAACATTTATATGTTTAGTTTATGCCAAATAAAGATGTTTCGCAAAGTATTGGGATGATAAGAGTCCGGGAAAATAAAAATCAAAAATTTTGCCCCCTGCCCCAAACGTTAAAACAACAAGTTAACAAATTATTTTTTTTACTATTGTTAATTTCAAATTTTCAAATTAAGAAATAGTAAAAAAGATCAAATTTTGTGCAATTATTTCTTAAGTAGTAATAAAATTGGGTAAAATTCTAAAATTTATAAAACTTTACAAATCTCGTAAAATAATAAATTCTAAAATAATAAAATTTTACTAGTCTCATAAACTGCAGACATAATTCCAATTATAGGTAATTTTTATATTGGATTTTTATTATAGATTCTAAAGTTGTTGGATTTGTTGCAGAAAACGAAAGGATCCTTTTAATAGTTTCTGGAGATTTAATCATATGACTAATTGATAGATATAACAAAAAGAAACAAAGTGTTAGAAATAAACAACGTTAGGTTATAAAAATGGCAGTTGATACAACTACACGCGGTGGATAGGATCCATTTGAGCATTTTAATATTAATAAAAATGGTGAAACAGGCAAATTTAAGTTTAAAAACTGACGCAGCAAAAGAGCATAACAACAAGCTCTTGGAAGCTACTGTAAAAGATCTTACGAGCTTAAATGAAGTTAAAAAAATAAAAGTTGACCCTACAGACACTAAACCAACATACACAAAACCAGCAGAAACAAAACCAACTGATGTATATATTGACACCAACAACCATAGAGAGCAGCTTACAGCTTTTGTTGCGGCTGGGGGTATAGGTATTGCAATTTATTATGTTCTTACCTATTAAAGGTATATATTTGTAATAAAGTGCAAAATATCTCAAACACATACATTGTGCTATTACTAAACTGTAACATATGTCATTAACAATTCTGTTAATGACGTTAATCTATTCAGAGATTTCTTTTAAACGTATGGTATGGCAATCAGGACCAGAATCTTCAAGCATTTTAATTGGTCTTTTAAAATGTGACAAATTGGCAAGCAACACTGCAACTTATCAAGGATCTCTAAATCAAATTCTTGAAACTACGCGCTCCGAAAAGGAGGGAACGAGTATTTACCAAATTTGGGAACCAAATAATTTGAGTTGGAACGCTCTTCAACCTTATCAAGTAATTGACTAACTTCAGTTCAAGTTTTATAAACCTGAAGAAACAGCATATAATTTCTCAGAAATTATTCGCTGTTCCATCAGGAATTATTTACTCTGAAATTAATCGCTGTTTCCATCAGGAACAGCAATTAATTAATCGCTGTTCACATGTTATTTACATTAGCTGTATAAGCTAAATTAAGAAGGGGTATCTCGCGCGCTTATTGACGGTGAGCTGACGAGTTTCAAGTTTTATTTTTATTTAGAAAATAAAAATTAAAAATTTCTCAGGCAAGTTGGCGCAGAAATGC